TCACAGGATCCCTCGTCCAGCCTGATACAATCGGGAGTACAAATTCGGAAAGGCTTATATAGACGTTTTCAGGTGTTGGTGTGAGCGCATTAATATTCAATTTCCTCCTATCATGCACAGACCATATGTTATTCGCGGATATGTCTGCGGTTGCCATGCACGCTATGTATATCTTGTCTAACGAAATGCCATGGTCAAACTGCCTTGGTCAGGATCACACGAAAGGTGAGCATCGTACAAAGAAGGAAATCTTGTCACCTACACAATCTGTAACATCGCGAATGAGCGCAAGGATTTGCGGAGGACGTTAAATTGATTGGGGATTCCCTAATGCAAGAGAGGGGTCCTACTTGGTTGGCAAAGGAAGAGGGAGGCCGTACTTCTGGTGGAAATTCTCTAATTGTTTTTCTGGGCCTTACATACGTTCTTGATCATACGCTGCATTTCATAATTGAAGGTATACCCTAAATTTTAGCTTTTCCGAACTTGCCGTGCCTCTTGACAAAATTCTGTGGTTACCAATGAGCTCGGTGCCACAGTTCCAGGAAATATAATGTAGGGTCTGGGCCGGGAAGGTCGTTGGTGGTGACAACAACTGTGAGCTAGCTGCTGACTCAATTTGATAAGGGGCCTTAGAAGGGGAGGGTCGCCATGCTGATAACAGAGTTACAGAATCAGCTTGGTGTTGTTTCCACTGTACAGTGTATGGGACAGGAGCATCGCAAGAGCTGCTCGCAGACCTGTAGGGAGCGATACAAGGACGAGTTTTGATTCCCTCCCTGCTTGAGGAGAAACAGTTGAGATACCGTCAGAAGACGTATTCATTGTCGCCGGTGACCCAAAAAGACAGCGCCCGCGATCAACCAAGGTGAAGTAACCCTCCACTGTACAAGATCGCGGAGTCCGCAACCACAGAGGATATCCCACTCCTGCGGCTCGAAATCGATTGATGGACGAAGGCGGAGTCAACAATGATAAGCTGACTCCGCCCGACGTGTTAGTCTCTCCTCGACTAATTTTCCGTTATCAGTCCTCGCTGGCATGGCATGGCGTGACGCATGACTTGATCGCCAAAGTTCCCCAAAATCTGCGAAGCTTGTCTAGATGCGTCCGATCAAATGCGAACTTTTATCTTTATTCTTGCAACTCTCTTTGTTTACTTTTTCTTTGATTAATGCTTACTTGTCACATGTTGTAACAATTCTGAGCCATACAACCTGCCAAGGAAAGATCACGGGCGCTGTCTTGAACAGGCACGTACGCACTATGAAAGACGGCCACAAGTCATTCGTTTATGGTTCACGCAATGCCGATGGGGAGCTAATCCCAGCGTGTGCAGAGGCTCATAAGTTGGTCGTTGTGGACGCAACTCCCACTCCATCGCTTCTCTCGCGAGTACCAGAACTTTTACTTTGCCCTTGTGACCTCCACAC